GACTTCCTGTTCCTTCCTTCTCCCCCAGGTCTCTCTCTGCAAGTGAAAGGACGGCAATCCTGTGTCTTCAAGAGTACCTTGTATATTAGAACCCCATCTCATTGGGTTATTGTCTCTTCCATAGTTCGGAGGCTTCTGTGGGCAGAGCATCTGTAGCTCTTGTTCTTATTACATAATAGGACATTGAGATGTTTCACTGAGTGCAGAAGTGTTTTTATTCATTCGTGTACCTCATCTCTGAGCTGTTGACTCTTTTTTTTGTCTATTGATTTATGATGATTAATCATTTCTGCTAATAGGGTACCCATGATCTCTCAAGAAGCTTTTATTACCAACATTAATTTTAATTTTGAGATGAGTATTAATATTCTCCATCTGTCTCCTGAAGAAGAAAGGGAAAGAAGAGAAGAAAGAAATCGGATGCATTTCTGAGCCCTTGCTATGTGCCAGGAATCTGCTAAGTGCTTTAAGATATATATTCTAGGAAAACGTATTTTAGCCTCATTTTATACATGAAAAAATATCAAAGTACAGAGATGTTAAGTGACTTGCCAAATATCACACACACAGATAAAGTAATAAATGCTCATATGGCTGGTTGTGCCCTTCTTCTGTATCCAAAAACATTCAGTAAACATGTATTGGATATCTATACATGGCATGCTTGGTGCCTACATGGAAATTCAGAAAGGTTTGAGCTTGTCTGTGAATAAGAGGGATAGACAAATGAGTCACCAGTTGAAACCTGGCCTCATTTATGCCGTGCAAATGTACACCTATGGTTCTAGAAGTGTCAAAAGTGAACCAGCTTAGCTTAAGTGGCACCCCTGCTAGGAAGCCTGTTTCCAACTTCCCGTGTCTGCAGCTGAGCCATGACTGTAAGTATTAACAAGGTAGAAGGAGGTCAGAAGGCTTTCTAGACACAGATGCAAGTACACGCAAAGACCTGCAGACTTCCCTTCTGTGAAATTCAGTTCAAGAATGGAATTCTCTCAAATAGACCTAAAGGCAATATGAAGATATAAAGATACAGCCGCCCCGTTGCCTTTTCATATCATGAAAGGACCACATTTTTCCTCTTGTATTTATGGAGAGATTCTTTCTGACCAAAGGGAAAGAAGAGAAGGACCTTTCCATAAAGGGCCAACCAGATGGATCAGATATATAGGAAATACGGACCCGTGTAAAAGTGTTACCTATGTATTTATCGAGGAAACGTTTTTTTCTCTATGCTCTGGTAAGCACAGTTTACTTATTAAAAATGAGCAGCTGCCTTTCTGGAGCCCAGAGAAATCAGAGAAGCATTTATGTAAAGAGGTCCAGCCAACCATGATGAAGCATGACTGGGACATGTGCACAGGGCAGGCTAGAAGCATCAAGCAAAGGTACCCCACACTCTGTACTTATTACTAGCTAGACATACTTTAAGCCATTCTTTTTTTTGTATCCTCACCCAAGGATATTTTTCCATTGATTTTTAGAGAGAGTTGGAAGGGTGGGGAGGTGACACAGAGAGAGAAACATCGATGTGAGAGAGACACATCAATTGGTGGCCTCCTGCATGCACCTGCAACCAAGGTACATGCCCTTGACCGGAATTGAAGCCGGGATCCTTCATTCCACAGGCTGATGCTCTAGCCATTAAACTAAACTGGCTAGGGCTTAAAGCCATTCTTGACATCTCACTCTGAAAATAAGATGAAGAGAACATTTTGGATTAAATTTTATGTTTATGCTGTTTTTCTTTGGTTTATCATCATTTTTAGCATTATTTGGGTAAAATTGGCAAATAGAATTTTATTTAAAGTGTATAATGTGTACACTGTGAAAGGGTACTTTGAGTTATTACATCCATCACCTCACATGTTTAACTTTTTTGTGCATGAGTGTGAATCCATAATTTCTACTCTCTTAGCAAACTACAACTACAAACACAGCATTAGCAACTGTCGTCACCATGTTATTATACATTAGATCCTGAGACCTTATTCATTTTAAAATGGAAAGCTTGTGCCCTTTTACTTACCATCCTCTCCCCATGTCCCCTTTCCCCAGCCCCTAGCAACTATCTATCTATCTATCTATCTATCTATCTATCTATCTATCATCATCAAGTACAATATGTGGTCTTAAAATGTACAGAAAACCACAAAACTGCAGTTCCAACCAACATTTATAAATGGGCTAGAGAATGATACGTTTTTCAGTGTACCCATGAGCTTCTGTAAGGTGCCCGGTCAATGCCAGGACCATTAAAACCAGCACCTCCGCAGACATTTAGCATGGCTTGGCGTCCGCTTTTGAGAATTCACTAGTGCTACACATAAAAGCAGCAATAATTCTTTATAACCTGGAGGTACTCCTAGACTGCAAGAACATGGGTGAGAGCACATTAGCAAATAAAAATAGTTGGAAACTCGGTGGTTTTGGCTTGAAAGTTTTATTTTGTTGTCGCAGTTGTTTTATTACGGATGGACAAGTATTCAAGCAGGGTACGAGAGCCGGTTAGGCCCAGCAGACTCTGGGGAAACAATGGCCTCTCTGCTGTCCCCGCCTCATTTCCTTAATTAAGAGGGACAGCCCCTTGAAACAACAGCTGCTGCCCTCACATACATCAAAAGATCTTCAGAAGCTACTGCTTTTATTGATTTGGGGCCATGAGCACTTGAAACGATACAACTGGGTGCAGAGTCATCATTCTGCCCCCCATGGACACTAAGCATAAGCCCAGCAGATAGGATCACATGCTAGTTTCAGCCTCGTTTTTCGGGGATGCCAGTCTTCTAGGAATAACTGGTGCTACTCATTCCAAGGAAGGAACTCTGAGCACGCAACATGGGAGGTGAACAGTCGGTAACTACCCAGTTGTCATTTGCGAAACCAGTTAACTGTTGGGTTTTCTAGTTTGAGGCCTGTCAGGGAGCTTGTTTGCTTTTCAATGCTGGTGACCATGGCCTTGTGAGAAGAGGTCAGCTCTGGATCCAGTCAATGCTTCAGTATGGAAGTGGAGGGCCACTGTCCCTGGACAACCAGTCCCAGCAAAACTTAACTGAAATGGGGGTGAAGGTGTCACTGTCTGCCTGTATTCAGATTCCAGTGATGAAATTCACACAAGCATGTGCCCTTGTCTCTTTGGGGTCAATGATAAACCCTTGTTAGGGCATTTCTGCTTTCTGGAAGAAGAAACAAGACTTGATGTTTTGAGCATAGACTAAATTTCAAGCCATCCATCAATCAGAAAACTTACTGACAGTGATAATAGGCCTTCAGGAGACTTATTTTATTTTAAGATGAAGAGAGACTAAGCCACCTAGGTTTCAGAGTCTTTGAGCTGGGAAAAATGGGTTCAAGTAAGAAGAGTTATGGAAATGCCCTTAGGATAATGATTAATTTACTTATTTTGAAGAGCTCACAAACCATTATACAATCTCCCTCCCTCCCTTTCTTCTCTCTTTCTTCCTTTATCCCTTCATTCATTTACTTCTTCCTTCTTTCCTTCAACATTTAACTAGTATAGCTCAAGCCTACATATAGAAAAAAAATCTCCACTAGCTCTCAGTTGGAGCTGGGGGTGGGGTGGTGTATGCAAGTTGGAGAAGGGGCTGCTTTGATCTGGGGGAGGACACAAAAATGATGAAAACGAACTCTTACAGGATTTATATCAAAATATTTGTTGGTAGGGGGCGAATGGTTTTCCTGGTGTAACTGGGAAATATTCAATGGTGGAAGTGACTTGCAGTTGTGTCTTCAAATTAGAGTCAAAGAAAATTAGGTGAAACTGGAGAAGAGCATTTCAAGTTGAAGACTTCCCGAGGCTTACAGAGGGCTGAGAAGCTAGCGGGCACTTTTGGGGGATTGGCAGTCTTTCAGTGTGCCTGGAGATGGGGCAGTGCCCGGAGATGGGGCAGCAGAAGTGAGATGGGACCCATCAGGAAGGGCCCCACTGTGTCCTGACTCTGAGGAGTATTTTTTAAAATCTTTATTGTTGAAAGTATTATATATATATTCCCTTTTTTCTGCCATCAAATCCTTACATCCTGTCCCCTCTCCCCCCAGGCCTCCACCACCTATTGTCTGTGTCCAGGGGTAACATTGGTATGTTCTCGCATGGATGTGACGGCCGAGCTGCACTAGCTCAGGGCAGACAGAGGTGCAGTTTTGAGGCATGTGACTATTTCCATGTAGAAATGAAACAAATTAAATGGAAGTTCTGCAGATTCTGATGAGAGCAAATTATAGATGGTCCCACATTTACTTCATCTTCCTGTATAGAAGTCTGAGAGAGAGAGTATGATCAACCGTATTACTTAAGTAACAAAATAATTGTTTTCTATTTAATATGGCTCGCTGCAAGATTACACTACATAATATGTGTCTCTGCGGCATTTTAAATAGGCCTTTATTTTATTTACACATACAGTTTCGGGCACATACCATAGTGAGATACATCTGTATTTGTCCCTAACATTGGTCCAACAGTAAAGAGAATGGTTATTCTTTTGCTATACTGCATTCACATCGGTTGGGTCATGTGTTTTGTTTTCATAGTTCATAGGGTAGCAGTAGGTAGTTCTGCAAATTTCAAGTGAGAGAATTAATTAGATTACTTTGCTATGCAATCACTGTTCAAGTCAGGCAGCGAAAACCACCTGCCTGGCATTGCCTGATAAGTCTTGAAAGTTTAATACACTGTCAGGGAGATGGTTGCCGGAGATCACGTGCCATGCGTAGGACTTATTGAAAAGCCTGAGCTAATAACACACAGTATCTCTGCCCGAGTCAAGCCTGGACTCCACTGAAGAAAGGTTTCATTATTGTTTTTATGTGAAGTGGAAATTTTGCTGTCGGACTTTATAAGTAAACAGGGTAGATGTGCCCCAAGCATGGTGGTTTTGGAATCCTGTGGACATCAGCAGTCCGCAGGCTCAGCCGAGCTTCTCTAAGGCACGTGTGAAGTTGCTAAGGTTGATGTTCCTTTTTCATGTTCCTTCACTTTTTAGGTCTGTGATGGGCTCAAACAAGGAACCAGATCTTGTGCATCTCGAGGCCAGAACTGTGGATGGTCGTAAGTAAATCACGTTTTCCAAGGTGTTCACTGTGATACTAGTTTGATCAATCCACCACGAACCACGTCTTTGTTCAGGAAAATCGTTGGCAATAATGCAACTCATTTGAACATGAGGACTTTCCCAGCTTTTAGTAATTCAGGATTGTCTTAATCATTTTTGACAACTCTCATTCAATCAGGCTCTTTTGCTTTCCTAGTAATGTGAAAAGTCAAAATTCCTTATTTCTACCATGTTTTATTGTTGTGATTGCTGCTGCTTTGTTTTGATTGGTTTTTCCTGTTTCCTTATTTTATTGGATGTAGTTCGAGCAATGCCTCCCTGTCTTGTTCGGAGACACACAAAGCATTTAGAGGACACAGGGGAGAGAAGAATCATCCTATGTGTACCTATGATAAGCAGCAGGAGGGCAAAGTCTGCACCTGAGGTGGTCAGAGCAGCCCTAGCTAGGCCATCCGCAGTGAAGGACTCCACATGATGTGAAGATCATGGCTTTAGGTACATGACCGAGAGGAAAGTAAGGTGCAAATCTAGAATTTAAACCCTTGTCTGAAAAAAGCAAGTCTGCTCACTAATTGTGTGACCTTGAAAAATCTACTTAGACCCTTTACGCCTCAGCTTCTTCACTGTAAATTAAATAAGTTAACAAAAATGTGTCCTATAGTAGCTAACATTTACAGAGCACTTACGCTGGACCAAGAATTATGTTAAACACTTTATCTCCTTTAGCACAAGGAATCCTCACAATTTGTGGATTGTTGTTCCTGTTTTGCAGATGAGGAAATCAAGTCATAGAAAGTTTAACAAACATATTTAAACAACAGCAATAGACCTTTCCTCCTTCTTCTCTGGTCCTGAGGTTCTCCTGAAGGTCTGAGGGTTGACGGGCTACCACTAGATCTAAGATTGGGCACTAAAGGTGAAAAGGATGAAGGGAAAGGGAACATGTATAGAAGAAAGGGATGAGGAAAGAAAGACAGAGGAAGAAAGAGGTCCCAGATGTAGAGGAGAGAAAGAGAATGGACTGTCCACAGTTACCACCAAGCAAGGAGGCTGTTAGAGGTTGTCCGACACTAAGCAAGAGAATGGTAATTTAGTTATGGAGACATTTCCTATCTCAAAAGTATCCCTCACAATTCAAACGCATCACTGTCACTGGCGCCTGCACCTGGCTACTTGTCCTCAGCTCTTTGAACACAAAGACAGCAGCGATGCCTGCACTTTACCAGCTGACAACTCAAAAGTCACCGGTCATCCCTGCAGCCCAGACTCTTCAGAAATCGCATGTTCTCTGCACCTCTGCACACACCATGAGATTCTGCATCTCTAGAGGTTTTGCTTCCCTTTCAGAGGATGAATATATTCTTTGGTAGAATCAATGGGAGGATAGGTCAGGGACCAGCACCTTCCTCCTTTTAAATTTAGGCAGGGTAGCAGTAAATCATGGCATCTGCCCCACCCTGTGCCTGGCACAGAATGAGTGGAGACACTTCCTTTGCTCTGCAGCTGATTATTTTATCTTGGATCCCAAGGTTCATTTCTTACTACCCAATAGCCAGAGCAGCCTTTTCCTAAGGTAAAAGCAATCCTGTCATCTGTTTTAAGCTTTGATTGACTTCCCACTGCTCTGGCGATAAATAGCCAAGTTCTCACCTTGACCTTTAGCTGCAGCATAAGCTGGTCCCTGGCCATTTCCTCAGCCGCATCTCACTCTAACCCTGTCCCCACTCCTTGCCTACAGACCCTTGAATTTGCTTTCAAGTCTTGGACCACCCGGGTTTCTAGGTCTTAGTTTAAGGCCCAGAAGTCGCTGTTTCCTCTGCCTGGAATGCCCTCCCCCCTTCCCTGATGAATTCAGTGTAATTAATCACTATAAGTGTTTCAGATCTCAAATTAAGCATCCGTTTCTATTTTTTTTTAACTTTTCACTTTGAAATAAATTTAGACTCACATAAAAGTTGTAAAGAATAGTCACCTTCCCCTGGACTTTTCAACCAGCTCCCCTAAAGATAGCATCCAGGAAACCCAGAGAACTCTAACAAAATCCTGGGAAGTACCATTTCCCAGGGGAAGTCTTTCTTGAACTCCCAATCCAAACCAGTTTTTCGATTTGTTTGCTTTCATCCAACTCTAATATTTTTCTTTATTGTGCTCATCTCAGTTTTTTTAAAAATATATTTTATTGATTTTTTTTACAGAGAGGAAGGAGAGGAATAGAGAGTTAGAAACATTGATGAGATAGAAACATCGATCAGCTGCCTTCTGCACACTCCCTACTGGGTATGTGCCCGCAACCAAGGTACATGCCCTTGACCGGAATCGAAACTGGGACCCTTTAGTCCGCAAGCCGATGCTCTATCCACTGAGCCAAACCGGTTAGGGCTCATCTCAGTTTTTAATTGCACATTCCATTTCCGTGATGATTGGATCACAGTGTTTTCTCTCCACCAGTAAGTGCTATGGGTGCAGGGGGCATGTATCCCTTTGTTCAATACTCTGTCTCCAGCACATGCCACAGTGTCTACATGTAGATAGAGCTTAATAAATATTTATTCAATGAATGAATGCATAGTTGACCAAGTGTCAGGGTAACCAGCTGGCTACCTAACCTCACTTACAGATCCCACCTACAGACCTTATTAGAATGTAAATTCTGATGTAGGAGGAGCCCAACAATCTGCATTCCTAACAAGCTCCCTGGTGAAGCTGATGATGCTGGTATTGGAACATGCTTAGGGTCAGAAAATCCCATAATAAAAACTAATGAAAGAGCTTCAGGGTCTGCCTCCCATGACTACACCCTTGTTTAGAAAGCTCTGGATGGAATCCTAGATTGCTTTCCTTTCTGAAATTTTGGGGATGTGGCTGCTTTCTGTTTGTGGCATTGAATGCCCATAACCCCATATCCTGAAAACGACAAGGCCATCACTTTCCCTGATCTGTGCTTTTTCCCCACCCATCGTTATTCCTGTGTTCCCTGCAGGCATGGAGGTTGATAATGTCAAACTGTCATCTCAGGCTCAGCTTGCGCGAGGCATGAAATATATCAGTTCTAATTTTATTTATTTTATTTTACTTTTTTTGCAAAGGCAGCATCTTCAGAAACTATTCAAGAGTGAAAATTCAATAAAGGGATTTAATTTGAAAAGTTATTCCTGTCAAAACAAAGCAGAAAAAAAAATTACCTACCGATTGAAGAAAAGGATCTAAGCCTGACCTGACCAAATGTAAAAAATGAGATTTTCTCGGTATCGTGTCCTCCCTCCTCTTCCCTCCCCCCGTCCCTCCCTTATCTCTCCTTTTTCTTGGTATCTCTTTCTCCAACACGGTAATCCTGGCACCAAGTAGAAGAAACAGAGAGGAGGAGGAAGAGGAGGAGGAGGAGGAGGAGGCTTTCACCCAAAGACTGTGCACAAAAAAGTCTGCTCACACTACTCCTATTCAGCATTGTACTAGAAGGCCCTACACAGATCAATTATGCAAAAAGAGGAGGAGGAGGAGGAGGCGGAGGAGGAGGAGGAAGAAAAGAGCTCAGACAGCTCAGTCAGTAGCAAGGTGTTAGCAAATGTAGCTGAGAGTCATTTGCTCCAAGAATTCCAATATCTATATGTTTTCTCTTTCCCATTCCCTGATTGAAACCCCTCTTGATTCTCTATTTCTTCATTATTATTTAGTACATAATTTAAGTATATGGTACTCATTGTTTATATTCTAGGTCAGTGATGGCGAACCTTTTGAGCTCGGCGTGTCAGCGTTTTGAAAAACCCTAACTTAACTCTGGTGCCATGTCACATATAGAATTTTTTGATATTTGCAACCATAGTAAAACAAAGACATATTTTTGATATTTATTTTATATATTTAAATGCCATTTAACCAAGAAAAATCATCCAAAAAATGAGTTCATGTGTCACCACTGACACGCGTGCCATAGGTTCGCCATCACTGTTCTAGGTTATGGGTCTTGTAGGGAATGTGCAAAAATAATATAATACTTTTTTAATTTGAACATTGTTGTTGTGTTTGTTTGTTTTCTCTGATTGTAATGGGTTTAGGGATTTTGTAGCCAAGGCACTGAGACATGTGACGCAGGAAAAAATTGTTCACTTGCTTATTTGGCTCATCCCCACGGGATGGGTTGCAAATGCTTATCTGGGTTTGTTACTCAAAGGTTCGTGTTAGTCTCATTTCACATCTCCCTAGATGACCTTTTAATTACTATCTGTTTCATTGGAAGAATCTGTATGTGAGGGAGGTGAGCTCTGGGAAGCATTGGCTTACAGGGGTCTATGGCTGGCATAGATGTGTCATGCCCATTGTGCTGTGAGACCTGGATGTGTTGTAGTTTACAGTCATGTCAAGGATGTTATTCTTTCTTGTATCACCTCTGTCTTGGGAGACAAGCTGAATTACAGTCTCAATTACAAGTTAAAACTCTTTTCATATTAGCACAACTTTAGCCCCTTCATGAGGAATCACTACATAGATTCCTTCTTATACAGCTTACTATAATTTAGTAAGTTGCTATCCCATTAATAGATACATACATGTTTGGCTATTTCATACAGTGCTGACACACATACACCCGTGAACATGCAAACTTACATAAGAGCAAACACTGCTGAGATAAGTTCCCAGCATCCTGGACTTGAGGATATATATATATATATATATATATGCTATAGATGTTGTCACATCGCCCTCTGAAAATAGTTGCATCATGTACGCTCTCTCAAAATGAGAATGTCTGTGTTTGCAAGCCCTCAGTCACCCAGGACACTATGAACAATTTTTTAAACAGAATCTATCTACTGAGTAGAATGCATGGCATTATCTTTATTTTAAATTGCATTCATTGAATTATGAGTGAGGTTAAGAATTTTTATTTTATTTTATTTTATTTTATTTTGCTATTTATATCTCCTTTCCAGTGAAACTTCAAAAGACATAAACTCTCTTTCATGGTCTAGGTAAGATGGACACTTTGGCATTTATATAA